GGTTTTTGTTATAGGGCACGTGCGCTCGCCAGACAGACAGAGACAGACAGAGAAATAAAAAGTGAGACATCATCCCCCAGGGGGTATGGCCACACCGCAATCCCTTCTTCTCCATTCTCCTCTCGGGATCTTGGGCACACACGCACATGCACCCGGCGTGAGTTTAAGCCACCAGGTCCAGGACTTGAACTGCGGTCGACTACATGGGAGTCCAGTGACATAGCCATTGTGCTAACTGCTGGTCCCTGTGTTGAAGATATTTTGATCAACCGGACTGGGGCGAAATGTTCACATATTGGAATGTTCACTTTGTAAGCTAAATAATGTGATTGGATGTATGAAAATATTTTTAAAAATATTAAAAAAGAACAAACTAACACACACATACACACACAAAGAATATAAAACACAAACAAAATCCAAGAGAAACAATAGGCAGTAGAAATTGAAAAACAAACAAAAATCAAGATGAAGTTATTATATGCAGACTTGAACAAACAAGTAAAATAATACATAAAAAGATATACTGTGATTAGTAGGAATTTCTCCCAAACCAATTCCCCATATTAATACATTAAAGGAGAAAAGCCATATGATCATTTCAATAGATACAGAATAGTATTTGAAAAGACACATTTATGCTAAAATCTGTCAACAAATTAAAAATAGAAAGAAACTACCCCAAATGTAATAATGGGGACACCTAAAGCTCATCTAAAGCTCTTATCTTTCTTAGTGGTGAAATATTAAATGGTTGCCCCCAAGATCGTGAGACAAAGATGCCTACTCTCACTATTTCTAGTTAACACAGTATTGAACTAGTACAGTAAGAAAGGGAAATAGATGGAATAAGGTTTGAAAAAGAAGAAATAAAACTGTCTTTATTCCAGAAATGACATGACATGATTGCATATGTATAAAATCTTAAGAAATCTACAAAAAATATTAGAACTATGCAGTGAATTCAGTAATGTACTAGTATACAAAAGCAATATTGAAAAGTGAACTCTATTCTTATGTAATAACAACAAACTACAGGAAAAGAAATTTTAAAATATTATTTACAACAGCAGCAAAAAAACACTAAATTGTTAGAAGTCAATTTTTTGGTAGAGAACTTCAGCGAGATGGCAGAGTAGGAGATGCCAGCCTTCCTTTTCCCTAC